CAATGTTCATGGGACACCCTTATCCATAAATATATATACCCACGAACAATTATTTTGTCAAATATTTATTCATTGAATCTTCTGTATATACGAGTTACCCATGAAATTACGTCCCCACAAACCAATAAAATTTTGCTTGCCCACAAACATAGACCTCCATGAATTAAACTGATTCCACAGTATTTGACAACTTGAAAAATATTGCAAATTGAAATAGAGTCTATACTTTACATATATATGTCATCAGGATGAGGGATGGGAGAGTCTATACTTTACATATACATGTCATCAGGATGAGGGATGGGGCTTGGGGTTTTTAAGGTAGTGTCTTGTGAGCAAGAATCAAAAGAGAGATAACTCAAGAAAAATTTCCTATTTCCTATAACTCTAAAGATATTAACTGCAATGAGACCTTGGGAATTATGATGTTTACATTTCCTGTTTCATAGGATCCATTCATAACTATCTTGTTATGACACAAGTAACACTCTAGTAATGGTCACTTTAAAGTTAAGAATGATAAGAGGGCTTGGTGGTAGGAGTAAAATGTTTCACCGTGGTATTTTTTCGTGGTTTGATACGATGCAAAATCTCCAGTTTTGGTTTGGTTCATTTTTTTCAGTCAGGTTTGGCAAAATCATGCTACGCAGCATGATTAAATTTTCAAAAATGTAATTTTTAAGGACTGATAGTGTGTAGAATAATCTTAAACAGTCAATTCATTCTTATCAATTTCTTATAGTCAATGTGCAAATAGATTGAGTTACTGGATTTAGTGAAACAAAACATAAAACAACTTGGAATTTGTTTCTTTTTATCAAAATGTATCATAGTAAAAATAACCATAGTAAGACAAAATTATATGGTACATATCGTTTCGTGAAGGAGGCATATCATTTAACCCCTACCGTGGGAAGTACTGCAAATGTATTCCTCTTTACATACAGTGAACATTTAATTAAATAACCCTATCACTGAATCCCTCACTGGTCCCTTGCAGATTGGTTAGTGGACAGCTTCTGTCCTTAAAATCCACACAATCCATTAAATTTGGAAGCTTTATCTGTATTTCAGTGTTATGCTATTGACAAGTTTTACATGTATATTGATTTAGGAAAATATTTGCCAAGTTTATTTTCCTACTATACCATTAAATTGTGTAAATAAAAAAAATTGTATATGCCTTACTCTTATCTACATGTATAAATGCTTTCAGGTATTTCTACACATATCAACAGCATATGCTAACTGTGATCGTCCCTTTATAGAAGAAATGGTATACAACCCCCCTGTAGAACCTCAAAAACTGATAGATGTTTTAGAGTAAGTTTTCTATACATGTACATTGCAGTTTTATTCTGAATATGTTACAACTTAAGTCTTTAGCTTAAATGTGTAAAAACAATACTTTAGATCACTAGATTTTCGTGAATCCTTATTTTTGCAAGATTGTTTTTTTTATTTCCAACTCTAATCTTGACAAAATTTTCCCAAATGTTGGTTATTGCTCTGTGTTATCTTAAATAGTAGAATGAAATTTTTTTGAGCAAACCGTCTTATGAAATTAAGCCAAATTATTTAAGTTTTCAGGAATAAAAAGTGATCTACAATAGTTTTATCAGAACAATGCTGAGTGCTCATCATGAATTGCATCCATGTTTGAACAGTATAATCTTTGAAATGTTGGCAGACTGAAAAAAATACATCTATTCTTTTATGTAGATGGATGGATGATGACATGATAACACTAGTAACACCAAAACTGATTGGCAACAAGCCTAACACGTACACATACACCAAACATCTGGCTGAGCACCTGCTATTAAAGGAAGGCTCAGATCTCCCTTTGGCTATAGTCAGACCCTCCATTGTAGGGGCTTCTTGGAAAGAACCTGTCGCAGTATGTATTAATATCACAGCTATAAAAGACTTCAGCTCAGAGGAAGCAGAAGATTTTGATTAATGCCATAAACATTGTAACTGGTCAAATAAGAACATTGCACAATGTTAAACTTATACAAATATTGCAATTTTGATACTTACAGTGCTAAACACTAGTTGAAAAGGTGAAATTTTTTATTTTTTAGGGCTGGATTGACAACTACAATGGCCCCAGTGGATTATATGTAGCAGTAAGTTGGCTTGTAAAGATCTCTGAAATTAAGATATTAACAGTGTGTCTTTGCTCGAGCACTGCATGCTTATATAAAGCAGTTTTGTTGAAACTTGCTTTTATTGCATTCTCAGGCTGGGAAAGGAATATTGAGGTCCATGAAGGGAGACTATCGTGGTGTAGCGGATATAGTGCCAGTGGACATCCCAGTCAATATGGTCATTGCTGCCGCCTGGTACACGGCTGTAACCAAACCCAGTTCCTGCCTTATCTACCACAGTACTACTGGCTCCGTCAACCCGTTCACTTGGGGAGAATTAGGTCAGTTGCTATAATTAGATCAGGGTGATCAATTGCTTGAACAAAACATTTTTCTTTTGATTAGTGTTGGTCATTGCCTGTCATTGTCTTTGTATTTATTTTGCAGAGGGAGTTGTCATGAATTTCTGGAAGAAAGTGCCTCTTGATTCTTGCTTTAGAAGACCTAAGGCAGCTCTCACCAGCTCTGGGTAAGATAGATGTTCAGATATTTTACTTTACTAATGAATTTATGCAGGTTTTAGTACAGTTTTAGAAATAACCCTCTCTTTTTTTAGGTTCCTTCATGATTTCTACACATTTATTGAACACATGCTGCCAGCTTATGTTGCAGACCTGGGCTACTGTCTACTTGGAAAGAGGCCTAGGTATTAAAATACTAGAAATCTCATTATAAACCATCTTTATAGTTTCCATGATAAAATAGACTCGTGTCTATTAAATTAAATGTTTGTAAAGTTACTGAAATTCACTTGTCATTGATGACGAGGTAACTGTGACATAACGTATATTGTTGCATTTCAGGATGGTGAAGATCTACAACAGATTACACAAAGCCATTGGAACTCTGACCTACTTCACCATGCATTCGTGGGAATGGTCTTACAATAACCTTGACATGTTGACCAGTCACATGACCCCAGAGGACAAGAAGGTATATCTAATGTCACTACAGGAAGGGGTGAAATGTTTGTTTAAAAAAAAATCTTCAATCGGATAATGAACAAAATCTTCAATCGGATAATGAACAAATATACATCTTGTTTAAAGGATGAAACTATTTTAAAATTGTTTCATCTCAATATAGTTCTTTTTAAAATGATTGGTTTTAGTCCAGTTTTAATGTCAGAATGCTCCAAAATGTATTCAAGCTTGTTTAATCAGTTTATCACTTCTGGTAAATTATTTAGAGGTTGAATTCTTATTTTACAGTGCTTTTACTTTGATCCACGAGGCCTTCACTGGCCCACATACATTGAGAACTATTGCTTAGGAACAAAGAAATTTCTTCTGAATGAAGACTTATCAGGCCTACCTGCTGCAAAAGCTCACCTGAGAAAGTAAGTTGACTCGTTTACAGTCAAATTTTGTTATCTCAAACTTGATGGGGTCAAGAATGAAACTTAGGGATAATAAGGTCAAAATACATAAAGAAAAAAGAAGTAGTTGGGACTTTCAGCCCCTTCCACATGTCCATGGTATTACAGAAACCAATGTTCAAGTGTATATTAACATTTCATTTTTTTTTTGAATCCTCAGTTGCCTTGCTAGTAGTTTTCTTCTTAACCAAATACATTTTGATATTCTATTTATTTATATAGATTGAGAAATATCCGGTACTGTTTCAACACTATACTACTGATTGCTCTGTGGAGGACTCTAATAGCTCGCTCAGAACTGGCCAGAAACCTCTGGTATCTTATCATTGGTTTGATGAACAGATTTGTGAAATTCTTTCGGTTGACAAGTACCATACACAAGCAATGAAAGAATCCATACCTCTCATACTTTGGGAAAAGATCGCCAAATGCAGACAGCAAAATCCATAACAAGCATTTCTACTGACCTTTCCCAGACATGTTGTTTATTCATCCTAGGATTCTGTGCTGTTGACAAAGCTTTACGGGTGACACAAATCAAGTTTCAATATTGGGTCTGGTGCTGATGTTAGAATGTCCGACAAAGGAAGCAGGAAGACCAGAATCAGAATTGTGGCTTATTTAATTTCACTTCTAATTGCTAGTGCTTATTTATTGTATTTTTATACCTGATCCTGTACAGTCAATATTTTTATGATTTTTTTTTGTCATGTAAAAAATGAGGATTAAAGGAGGCATTTAATATGATTTGTTTTCATTATTTTTTTTAACCTTAGATATCCATTTCAGATATCAGCATTTTATGAAGGCCATAATCTGGATTTGCCACAAAGAAAGAAATGGAAATTGATTTCACATATTTATTGAAGCTTCTTTTCAGTCTTTTTTTTTCAATGGGAATAATCCTAGTAACTTGAAGGGGGGAAATCTTACAAGATTTGGGGGAATGGATCAGAATTTACAAGGATGAAAAGTTTGTATTAGGATTTAAGTCTGAGGTTTAAAAAGAAAAGCAGCAAAAATGCCCCCCCCCCCCCCCCCCCCCCCCCCCCCGTGGTGGACTTGAGGTTCATTCTCTGAGAAGAGAGATAACTCTCGCTGGGATAAATGACTATCATTCCTTTATAAAATTGTCAAGTTTTATATACCATAACAAATTTTGTCCTGCAAGGTATGCTGAAATTGTTTGGATTATGATTTATGAATTAGATTTCTTTTGGAAAATCATAAGCAGTAAAGCCAAATTTTATCTGAGTGAACAGAGTGATGGATGAATGCATTACATGTATATCTAAAATAAGTAAAATTATTATTACTTTATCAGTGGCACAAGGAAATAATACACGCAAAAACAAAAGAAATATATTTCATCAATTTAGAAAGAAATAAGAAACAATTTTAAAACTGACAATGTAAAAAACGTTAACAAATAACAGTCACTCCTCCAACATCTGAAGAATTGTTTAAAAACCAACTAGAAATCAAGATTTTTTTAACATCCAGAAAAATTAAACAAAAGTACTTAAAGTATAAAAAGTTATAGGATAAACCTTCTTTAACCCCCAAAAATGTACATGTATACGTATATCTTACAACTGAAAAAATGAATATGTTTTTTCTTTTTTATTTAAGAGAAAGTATTTTTATTATCCAGGGCTGATTACTCTGGGCATAAATGTTATTGAGAAATTTTTCAGTGTGATGTATCAATGTGTCTTAACCTGTAAACTCTATTTGCCAAATTACAGTTGATTCATTTTCAAGGGTACAATGCGGCGTGGATTTCTGAGTGAAATGAATGTCTTTTTTTTTAAATAAATAAAGTATGTATCACTCTTTGTCAGGATGGATGAGTGGTATAGTTGAACCTTTGCTCTGAACAAATGATGTCTGTGTTTAACTTGGCTAATAGAGATGTCTGGTCAGCTTTCACTGTACATACTGTCATTCTCTATCTCTGACACAGTTCCATATTCTCTTTCGTTTGTATGGTCATACAAGTCTTCACCAGAAATCCTTTTTGAAACTTGAGCGGCACTTGCATAACAATTTTGGTTGGTGGTACTTTCAGTGTGATTATAAATATGTTCAATAGTTCGTTTTACTTTCGATCGTCTCTTACCAAGAATATCATATTCATCTTGACTTTTGTAATATGTTTCTTCTTTCATGGTTGTGCTATTCATCTCAGGATACCTGCTAAAGCCGTTATCTTGTGGTTGGTGAACCTTTAATTCACTGACAGATGTGGGTGTTTCATTTTCAAACTTCAGGGTGTTCTGATCTTCTCTTCTTCCTATTTTATGTCTCCTGTGAAATAATTGTGATTTGAAATTATTATCTTTTGATATGGGCTTGGCCAATTCAAATTCCTAATAGAAAATACTTGTACATTAATGTCGTATTCTACTTGTTGCAAGTTATCTTCATCAAATGTTTTATATCAGCTTATATCAAGGTTCCTATGGTGCTCTGAAAGGTCTGGTATATGAAAGTACCATGTGAGGACAATATCTAAAAGGTAACGAGGATTCGAAGCTTATTAAGGCGATAACGTGATGCAGCGAGGGAGACAAAGTATGGAGGAAAAATGTGAGGACCACAATTAAAGGGAGGGCAACAAAAAAATGTGATGCATTGTCGCTCTAGCACAGTCCCTCCCTGGCATGTCACCCTTGCGTTCTTGCTTTATTCAGTTGGTCCTTACCAACAGCTCCCTAGCTTTGAAGACGTCATACATGCCCTTTTCCTTTGTAATCCTTCCCTGATCTGAGGGCATGTGATTGGTTCTATTGATAAACTTTAGATTTCAAAGAACAGGAGTGGATCAAATAAGAGCTGACCGGTGGCAAAAATAGTTGCAAAACCTTTTTTTAAATTCATACACTGGTTTATTTAAATTTCTTAACACCTAATACGCGTCTGTGTATTTGAAAGGACAATATTATAGATAAAATTTGTTTGCAGCCAGATATTCTATATTCGTACCTTATGATAATGACTGACAGGAGAAAAACACCTGCTACTAGAATCACTCCGCCAAACACACCGCCAACCACAGGACCAATGTCATCTGTAAATAATTCAGAGCAGTAAGATTGAAAATACACAACACAATTTCTGCCCATCTTATAAAAGTTTGGAGCTGGTTGGAGAGAAAATATTGATACAAAATATAAGATTACAATGGGAGAAGGATGGTGTTCGGAAATTTAAAATTGCTAGATGATTCCGATAATTTTATTGTCTTTCTTCTAAAAGAAAGAAAAATATTGATTTAATTAACATTTTTTCCCCCCAAAATTTTCTCCTTGCTTAATTTTTTTTCTGTCGCTGTGTAACGATTCATTAATTTCTATAAACTAAAATAAATAACAATAAAAAAAAAGATCTGAAGAGAAAGGAAAAAAAGAGTTACTTAGGTACCATTACTCCCCCTGTCGTCCTCGGCTGGTAGATCTGCTCTCTCTACAATAATACTCATGTTGTTGGGTACCTAAGACCATGATAAAAGTATCTATAAATTTCCATAAACATTCCGACAAAGGTTCTCATGAACAGAATAATTAACAAATTTAAATATTTATTTGAAATAAGTTGAAATAAACATTTCATAAAAATCACAATTGCAGACGAAATTACCAGTATTTCATGACATTTCGTTTTATCTGCAAAATTAATTACAAGGCAACACTACAGGACAATTTAATAGTTGTATTTTTGCACAATATGGAGGAACTTCAATGATGATTATAACAAAATAAATAAAACATAAGTTGCGACACAAAAATGCTGCTCTTTTTGTTTGGACAAGAGATTAACATACCAAGGCAAATGTCATCTGCTGTACTCTTAGTGAATGGTATGATATGGTTACATATTTATTTGTAAGACAAGAATGACTTTATACATTCTTATCAATGTATCAAAATGATTAATGGGTTTTTACAACGTTTATAGATTTTTTTTTTCTAATCGGTAGGGAACGAACTTCAAGCACCCGTATTTACACCAAAATGATGTCTAAACGGACGATTAAAAATATATATTATGTACATGTAGAGAGATACTTAACTTTCTCCCACCCCCTGGTTTAACCAATAAAAAAAAAATCATAATAAATAAATAAATAAATAAAACTTACTAGACAAACGGCAAACATTTCCTTATTGCAGTTGTTGGTTTGCCTCGTTATGAAATTTTGTTTGCTGAAAAACTCGCATTGCTTTAAAGAATTTAACTCAGTTGGATACCCTAAAAGATATAACATCACAGAGTCTCTTAATGTGCGACGTATACATACGAGGGTTGATCCAAAGTAATGTCACAACTGCTATAAAATCTTTAATAATCAAATGTTATCAACAAAATATGACATGCTAATACCCCTATCTATTTTAATTTTTGTCCTAAAATTTCATTCGATTATGTACAGTACTTTGAAAAATATCAAGATAAACCCAAGGTTGCGTTGAACTTTGTCCAAATGTTATTTTTAAATTAATTCATTTCTTTTGTGTAGAACTTATATATCACAGGTCCGTAGCAACGGTTCCAAAAGGGGGGGGGGGCAACTTCCCTAAAAATCTGACCAAAAAAAAAATGATTACTTGTCCAAATCCTGGAATTTGCCAGTGATCGACCGTACAGTAACAAAAAGGTGGGGGGGGGGGAGCCAACATCCATACGAATATTTACTATAGCAAAATACTATACCCCCCCCCCCCGCGGTCTACGCGGACCTGTATCATCAGATTTAAAATGAGGATCGAAAATAGACATCCATAACAACATGAACAACGTCGGTAAATTCTTTGTCGTGCGGCGGTAGAGGAGTCCCAACGTTGTGTTTATTCTAATATTTTATAAAAATTATAAAATTTGCTTATACCTAAATGCAACTTTAGAGCAAAATTCAAAATAGATCTAGGTATATGTATGTATAGCTTTGTTGAAAATTAAAGATTTTATAGCATGCAGTTGTGACATTACTTTCGAATCAACCCACGTATAAATGAAAATATTCAAAATATACAAGTAACATCTTATCAAATAGTTTTAATACCTTTATCCGTAGTATTGTATACTTGTCTAAGGATGCCAAGCCAAAATTCATAAGTGTATTGAATTCGCATCTTTATCTCATTGCATTTGCTCGTTGGATCGTGTAAATTGGCATCGCCATCTAAATGACCATTCCCTTTCAAACACATCGCATTAGCTTCCGTCCAATCCCCTGCTGTACCTGCTGTTAGTCGAAAGAAAAAAAGTATTCGATCATTCCAAGATAACATCTTCAACACCGTTCTCTGTTTTTCTTCCACAGCTTACCATAAACGTGCGGTTTTTTTTTAATTTTCAGAAACATGTACCTGTTTATTACAAGCTTTTGAAAACTCACTGTAATTGTTGGAACAGTAGGGAGTCAATGAAACTGAGCACTTTTCAGTCCTATATCCCTTGTTTCCAATACATGTTATTCTCAGACACTTTCCATCTCCTTTTATATCTAAAAATAATTTTAAAAAAAGGTTTGCAAAAAGTGATATTTATGAAACCGAAGCTCTTCATCGAAGTGAGGCACTTGAATACGATTCTGGAAAGTGATCAACTATAGGACAATTCTATCGAGTAGCCTATTTTTATTCAGCAAAGATATATATATATATATGTATGCTTCATATCAGATTAGTGATCTCACAGTCTGATTAAAGCCAGCCCCCGCTAAATATTTCACTTCGTTGTGAAGTGAAATAGTATAGGGGGTGGCGTTAATTATACTGAGTGATCTCACTTTTGAAGATGCATTTTACTCGTACCTGCAATTCAATATCACAGGGGGCCAGAGTGGACATTTGCTTTACCCCATTATTTTATACTTTTACATTATAAGTAAAGTATATCTAGATGTAAAAGGGTATATTGCATGGAAGGTCCTTGTGGTCATTAAATGGTTGCAATTTAATGTCCCCAAAACAGCATCTTTAAGTAAAAAAAATGATGGTGACTTAAAATGTTTTTTAAAAGTGTGTAAAATGTTTAGTTGGGGGGGGGGATCAAGAAAAGTGTGCAGGTATTCCCTTTTACTTCGACCACGTTAAAAGGAAGTTTACAGGAAATTCGAAATTAATCTCATGAATTCGATGTAATATGAAATTGCAATATAACGTAACTTTTGACGACAAAGCAATGCATCAAATCCGGATACAATGTATACAACCTGGTCACATAAAGTCTATATTAATTATTTGTTCGCTGACTTTGATAACATAAATCATGGATATGAACTTTTCGATACTCAATGATAGCATTAGTGACAATCATGCTGAGGATTTGTGGCGACAGGAATTTACCGCTCATCTTATGCCGAGTTTCGTGCACCTGCTTATCTGTTTGACAATTGGAGTAATTGGTAACACATTTGTATTCTTTATATACATGACAAAACTCAGAAAGACAGAAAACAGAATGTTTATACCATATTTAGCCGGAGTGGACTTTTTAGCGTGTGTGGTGACTACTGTGTTCTTCGTTATTGATACTCAATATTACGTCCGCTTTCCCTCAGAACTTTTGTGTAAAGTCTTCTACTTTTTCACCTTTTTTATCGTCATGGCGTCATTGCTACTACAACTGACCATTGCTATTGCTAGATATATTAAAATATGTCATCCTCAGAAACGAAAGATTTACCACTGTTTTGAGAAGGTTGCCGTTGTTGGTATCTTTGTAGGCTCCGCAATTTTTGCGGCGCCCTCCGTGATGTTTGCTGACGTCAAACAATTTGACAATCTCTACAACGGATTGAACGTCACTGGACAAACTTGTCAATCACTTGCAGGAAATTTTCAACAGGCGCGTGAAATTGTGCGCATGATCATAATATCAGTTATTGTTACTGGGATAATAGTCGCTTGTGGTGTGTTTTATGCTAAAGTAGGGATAGTAATCTACAAAACCTTCCCGGGAAGAAATACAATGCTTCAAAAAAGTAAAAAACAAAGTATCGACCACGATCTAGTATCTGTTGAATCGACAAGTTTGAATGCAGACGTAAAAGCAAAACATATTTCCGTAAACATTATAAACATTCAAAAATTAATCGGAGACGATGTTGTAACAAATGCGCAACGGAAGTTACGTCATCATTACAGACGGAGACTGAATTTCAATGTTATGTTTATGACAATGTTTGTTGTATACATCGCGGCTTGGCTTCCTTTCATCACAGTTATGTTGTTTTCTGTTTTTCACAGTGACCTCTGGACTTCCAAGGAATTCTTTGGTGTCGACATAAACATTTACTTAATAATGAGAAATTTCTTTGTTTTAGCATATTGTGCAAATCCATTTATTTTCAGTTTATTTGATTCCAAATTTAGGTCAACATTGCATAAATCATTGTGCTGAACAGGATTTCTTTTAGAACATGTCTACTGATAGTTTGGACTTTAAGGAATTGCTGACAAACAACGAGATGGCGTTTAACCCTTTGATATTAGGAGAAAATTTTTACACTAACTTAAGTAAACTCGGTGAGATTTACCCAATTTTCCTCCTCTGCTAATGCCTTTTGGCTCCTGGGCCATAGAACTTAGACGAGCTCACTTTTGAATTCAGTCTCACTTTTACAATAGGAATTTATGAAAAGGAATAGGATAAGTGAGATCGAGAAGGTCATTTAAGTTTTATGGCCCCGAAACCTGGCCCCGGGGCCATAAAACTTCTAGACGAGCTCACTTTTGATCTCAATCTCACTTTTCCACTATTACTAGGTAATCCCTTTGGTAAAAGTGAGACTGAGATCAAAAGTGAGCTCGTCTAAGTTTTATGGCCCCGGAGCCTGGTGTGAAATATACAGTAGTAAACATATAAGCATGTCATCGCCTTCTGAAAGTCCAAACAATTGGTGGATTTGTAATAAATTATGACTATACACTGTAGTTGTTGCAAAATTTTAAGAACACGTTTGTAATTAACATTCAGCATAACAACACAACGCTTTCTATAAGGTGGGAAAACTTTGCCCTCTTATACTCGATGATGACGATTGTTCTTTTTCATTCAACGGATTTGAACATTTGTGTCTTTTAACAAGATCTATCTGGGCAGGTAAAATACATTCTTTTGATAATTCAAATTTGATTGCCCATAAAACTAGTGATTTTGATTATGCATGCATGTATACAATTGATCTGATGATAGTGGAACGTGACAACAGCAATTCTCTTTATTGAAAAGCTTGGTAACAATGATTTATATATGTAAATATAAAGTCGAAATGTATACATACCCGATGTATTAGTTGTTTTATAAACACTCAGAAATTGTGCCGTTTTGCTGCCACAGGCCTTTGGTTCCTCCGACGTACAGTTATAATTACATTTGGTTACGGAGGATGTGTATGGTAAATTGAAGTCAGGTTTGAGGCAGTAACAGGTTTCTTCCTGGAAGAATACCCCGCATATCATTATATTATTTTAACTGTGTAATTCAATAAGTCTGATTGATTGGTTTGATATCACGTGCAAAATCATATTTACGATATTGACTTGTTACTAAAAATAACTGAAAATCCAAAGATGTGTTTAAAATGGTGAGAAGTCTTTAAAACTATAATGAATTTGTCTCTTTTTTGATAAAAAAAATAATTTAGATATAATAAAATTTTAATGTAGTCCTATATTCGAAAAATCCATAGATATATCGACTTTACAGAAAATCACATCGACTGAGCACGAAGTTGTGTAGATATCAATGAAGTTGTGCCCAGTAGATATCCAGAAAGCATTCTTTCAGAGGTATATATGTATACATGACGTATTGCCATTATCATTGGCTTAAGAATATATTCCTCTTGAATTAATGATTTATTATTAGTTCATTGATTAAAATATTTAAAATGTTTAAAAACCCTATTATTTTATCACTATACCGGTATATTGGGAAAAGCTCCTTTAAAGGAGAAATACGAGATACATATGCATATATTCTGATCTTACCAATGTGTTTCACATACCTTGATGGCAAAAAATAAAGACATTTTCTCATTTAAACAATATTCTTGACAGCGTCCTGGTGTCAGACCTATGGTAAAGTTAATAGGTGAGAAGAGCTTGTTTCGAATACTGGCCTTACTGTAGCAACCTGTACGATACAGTATATTAGAGTCTTTATAATGAATAAACAAAAGTTAATCTATCATACACTGTAACTCAGAATTACATAACAAGGCTGTAATATATTAACCTAGGATATGGATCCATTCGGAAACTTTTTGAATATCACCAATCCAGAAATCGCCCGATACTTTGTTCAGAGCTTCCTGGAGGTAGAAAAAAAAGTCGTCAGAGCTGAGAAGTCGACCATTCTTTTCTGCACACTGAGTCTGTCCCTCTAACCAGGTTACTGGTAAATCTGATATTACCAGTGTATGTGTATTATTCTCGCTGTCTACTGGGGAAAAAAGCAGAACAAAGTTTTACATATCAGTCTTAAAAGTTTGGGGTATTCTATTGTAATTTCGTTTGGATTATAATTTATCGATGTCTCGTAACCATCATATAAATCAAACATTGCTGTTTTGTTTAATATTGTATTGTTTCATGACCTTTACTGATCAACTCAAAGGTCAATGTATTGGAATCTTTCAAAAAAACAAAAACAAAACAACAACAACAACAACAAACAAACAAACACAACAATACCCCCCCCCCCCCAAATACCAGTACCAGAAAAGTCACTTAACAGGAAGAATACTTACAATCATTGTTATAGATAGTTTAGAATTTTTTAAATTGCAAAACTTGAATCTAACTCTATTATTCTGGTGGATATTTGTTCTATATCTCTGACACCACAAATGAAAATTAACTAGTATACTTCAATCATTTTGTCAGAGGTCTTGCTGCATCTAAAAGGTAACACCATCAAATAGTATCTGTGTTAAAAAGTTCACTCGGAAACTAAAATTTCCTATAGGTAAAAATGACTGTGTTGATATTTTTAATTAAATAAAATGCTTCGGCAGTGTTGTTTAATGACGATTTAATGTTTTATCTCCATAACCAAAGTCATTATAGCTATTACTTGTACATTTTCACTCTTTCAGTTTTTTTAAAATATTAGGTGTAATAATACTCTCTGAAGTTTTTCCACAATCTTTATCATCAATTTCACGCTCACGACTGAAAACACATACACACAAACAGAAAACACATACACACAAACTAAAAACACATACACACACACCTAAAAATTTATCTCAAGGACAGATGATGCAAACAAAAAATGGATGCCTGAATTGATATATTTTTGGATATACTTTTGGTTGTAAATGATGCAAATACTAAATTTCTAAAATATTAAGGAATTGTAAACTTTCTAGGATATTCAAAATTCTATCTTTCTGATAACATCCTCATTAAATTTTAATGAAAAATTAAAACTAAAATATTAAAACTCGTATTCTGTTAAACTTATTTTACGAATATAAATATGACTTTAGTTGTATTTTCATGATTTTTTTTTTTAAATAACAGTTTGTTTGTATCTTCTGTCCTTAAACAAACATTTTATTTTTAAAAAAAAATCTTAGTTAACTCTATCACAGAGTTGGGATTTTGATAAAAAAAAGTTTTAAGTAATTTTTTGAACTGGTAGTATGGATCAGGATCAAATAAACCAAGGGGACTATAATCACGGTGGTTGAGAGTGCGGATTCAGGCGAGGGCGCTCCCAGCGCCCCCCCCCCCCTCTTAGAGAGAGAGGGGGACTGCACTGTCACACATCTATGTGAAAAACGTAAAATAACAGTCATTTTATGTCCTAATTAATTTTTTTTTGCTCAGTAGCTTATGAGGGTTTCGCTCCAAGCTGCAGAAACCCAACCTAACATTGCCCTTGACAGGTGTCGCATAATATTTGGTCCGCCTTGTTTAAAGGTCCGGGGGGACCTAATACGATAACATATAAGGTCCGCCTTTTATTAGAAAAGGTCCGGCCCGTATAAGAAAAGGTCCACCTTAGTTTAAAGGTCCGGGTGGTGCAAAATGTTTTAATCTTGACTTAAACACGTAAAATTAAAGAGAGTTTGTTTACATCATATGAAGAAAGAAGGATTTACCCTAGCTATTGTGTGTGTGTTTTTTGTACAATATATCTCTAGGGCAGGAATTGCTACTCCTTATTTAGTGTGCTTTTAGCAATGCCGTTTAGGGCAATGCTTTTTTTTTTTTTTTTTAAATGTCCCTTTTATTGGGCTTGTGTTTGTTTTTCTGCAGCATTTGCTTTGTGTAAATTAGGACGATTAAAGGTGTGAAATCTGTCGGTGTGTATAGGCAATAAAACTATGGGGGGTGTGAAGTATTCGTATACCTGACATGTACCCACAGGTAGAGCCCGCGGCAGATAGCAATGTACTGGTCATATGTTTGCTTTAAATCAATAGATATGAATTCTCTATTTTAATAAATTATTCTAAAGAACAAATTATAATACTATTATGATATTCATGCGTAACATCAAAATTTTGATTTAAATATTTATATATAGTTTATTTTTATTACAATATTTAAAGAAATTTCTTATTCCAAGTGTAGAGTTAATACTAAGACCGATAAAGAATAAAAGTATTTATATGCTTCCCTTTAGTTTTAACAATTAACTTGTTTTCAGTTTATAATCATATTTTGTTCCTTTATTTGTGGATAGGGTAATATATAGCCTAAAGTTGTATTCGATCTATATTTACTGCAGAAACAAAATACATGTAATGTTAAAGCTTAAAACAGGTATATGTAACTCAATGTTGAAAACATATATATAATTCAATCATTTCCACAAAATTTTGTATTTAGGAATAACAAAATTTGAATGAGTTCCGTATTTTACGAAACTCCTTTCAGTTTCTCTTTATCATGAACGAAAACGATGAGATGTTCAATTTATTGTTACAAATGTTTAGGAAATATATCCTTTTAACTTCCGTTGACTATTTTTTCTATGTTAATTTATTTAGATATAGATTTTTAAAACCTCAAATATTTACTATTTCATTGTTCTAAAAATACCGCAGTTGAAATCATTTTCCATTGAAATTTTTAAATTCTATCCAGTCAGAATTGACTGGTATATCAAATGAACACTTTTATCTGCTTTTTAAAATTATGGTTCTAAATTAGATAAATATATATCTCCAATTATTCAATTTCAAGTCTTAAATTCGTATACTGCTACATGATAATTGCAAACTTTAAGTCATTTCTATCGCTCTTTGACGTGACGTTACATTACAAAAAATGACGTTCCTATTGCATTTTTCTATCAAAACACTGCCATATTGCAATATCTATTTTTCACAAAAAGTATAATAGATATTGAAAAAAAGAAAACGGTTATGAAAAGCAAAAATTCTACATTATCTATGATAATCATAACATCAATTTTTGAGAAGAGGCCGTTTTTGATGCTTCATGGACTTAGCTCTTTGAATCTACAATACCTGAAGATGTTTCAATATCAATCTGACGAAAGATGGCTTTGCTGTTCTTGTAAAGAAGATTTTTGAAGATTTTTCGATACATGTGTATATATATCCTATGTAAAACTTTGATCCCCCATTGTGACCCCACCCTACCCTGGGGGTCATGATTTAAACAAACGTACATCTACACTACCTGATGATGCTATCATGTTAATATGACTAATCATGACATTGCTGTTCTTAAGATGAAGATTTTTGAAGACTTTTTCCTAAATATTCCTATGTAAAACCTTAATCCCCCGTTTTGATCTATCTACTACAAAGCGAAAATTATAGACAGGGTTCTTTTCTGTAGCATAAAAAATAGAGAAAGAGGCAGGGCGGACCTTAAAACGCAATATAATAAAAGGTCCGCCCTCTGTATTTCAGATATCTTAATATTACAAGGCGAAAATTTTGAACAGGGTTTATTTTCGTAGCATAAAAATTAGAGAAAGAGGCAAGGCGGACCTTAAAACGCAGTATAATAGAAAGGTACGCCCTCTGTATTTCAGATATCTTAATATTACAAGGCGAAAATTAATTTTCGTAGCATAAATACTGGAGAAAGAGGCAGGGCGGACCTTAAAACGCAGTATAATAAAAGGTCCGCCCTCCGTTTTTCAGATATCTTACTATTACAAGTCGAAAATTTTGAACAGGGTTTATTTTCGTATAGCATAAAAACTAGAGAAAGAGGCAGGGCAGACCTTAAAACGCAGTATAATAAAAGGTCCGCCCTTTCTGTTTCAGATATAGTACTATTAGAAAGCAAAAGATTTTGGACAGGGCTTATTTCCGTAACATAAAAACTAGAGAAAGAGGCAGGGCGGACCTTAAAACGCAGTATAATAAAAGGTCCGCCCTCCGTTTTTCAGATATCTTACTTTTACAAGGCGAAAACTTTGAACAGGGTTTATTATTGTAGTATAAAAATTAGAGAAAGGGGCAGGGCGGACCTTAAAACGCAGTATAATAAAAGGTCCGCCCTCCGTTTTTCAGATATCTTACTATTTCAAGGCGAAAATTTTGAACAGGGTTTATTTTCGTATAGCATAAAAATTAGCGAAAGAGGCAAGGCGGACCTTAAAACGCAGTATAATAAAAGGTCCGCCCTTTATATTTCAGATATCGTGCTATCAGAAAGCAAAAATTTTGGAAAGGGTTTATTTTCGTAGCATAAAAATTAGCGAAAGAGGCAGGACGGACCTTAAAACGCAGTATAATAAAAGGTACGCCCTCTGTATTTCAGATATCTTACTATTACAGGGCGAAAGTTTATTTTCGTAGCATGAAAACTAGAGAAAGGGGCAGGGCGGACCTTAAAACGCAGTATAATAAAAGGTCCGCCCTCCGTTTTTCAGATATCTTACTATTACAAGGCGAAAATTTTGAACAGGGTTTATTTTTGTAGCATAAAAACTAGAGAAAGAGGCAGGGCGGACCTTAAAACGCATTATAACAAAAGGTCCGCCCTCTATATTTCAGATATCTTACTATTACAAGGCAAATGTTTTGGACAGGGTTTACTAAAATTTTTCGTAGCGTAAAAACTCGGAAAAATGGCAGGGCGGACCTTAAAACTTAAAACGCAGTATAATAAAAGGTCCGCCCTCTGTTTTTCTTTTTTCCCAGATATATGTATCTCACTGTTACAAAGCAAAAATTATGGAAATGCTGCAAGTTCCTATTGTTTTTTTTTTCTTTGTTGGTCGTGTGTTTTCCCAGGGTAGAAAGATAATTAGGTATGTAATTTTAGGATGGACGCTAAATAAACTTAGAAATGTCTTGGAATCGCCTAATTGTGCATAAGAATTGCACATACTACGTGTAGTAGTGTACTTTTTTGCATTTATGCTGACCAAAAGACAAAACTTTAATGACAATTAATTATCCACGTTTGCAGGAGATGTGTCTACTGTATTGTATATCT